TCTTAGTGATTTTCTTATTGTAAAAAAAAACCAAACAACTCTTTCTAATAACAAAAGGCCTGCCATGTTCAAAAGTTAGTGTCTGAGACTTAATTGACACCGAGTAGCTGTATTGAACAGTATTCACAACTGTTATCCTGCATATTTGCAGAAGCTAATCAAGTTAGATCTAAATAAATAGACTTTTCCTTTGGATTAGTCAATGAAACATTTTCTTCCCCCATCTAGATTAGTTCTTTTGGAGGTTAAATACTTGAAGAGAAAATGACATCGATTATCAAGTTGACTACACTTTCAGGAGTGCAGGAGGAATCTGCCCTTTGCTATCTGTTGCAAGTAGATGAATTTCGTTTTCTTTTGGACTGTGGCTGGGATGAAAACTTTTCTATGGATATTATTGATTCTCTGAGGAAGTAAGTAGTTCAGTTCATACACTTTTTTTTTTTTAATAGGTCTTGTCCTTTTCTGAAGGATTTCAAAATACTATGCAATGGTATGTGTAGGGTGATGTCGAATCCAAATTGTTCTTTTGTTTGTTTGAAGTATGTTTTGTATGAAGGGAATTACACTGCTGAAACATTTCCAGTAAAAACCTTGGTTTTTTTTCTTGTGAGTCTAATGAGTTACATCTATTAACTATAATTCTCAAACTGTTATGTGTTCGTTTTGGCTTGGATGTCTTGATTTTCTCATAAACATGGCATGGAGCAGAGTTTATGGGAGACTGACCTTGGATCTAAACTAATTTAGAATGGTTAACCAAGTTTGAAGTGAAAGAATCCTTAGTGTATGTAGGCTGAATACAAAGTGGTTCAACTCTCACCTCTTGTTTCAAGTTGAATAGACTGTCAGTCAGGAAAACAGCTTCTGTTAGTTATCCCAGTCCTGCAAAGAAATAAACCTGTCTGGACTTTAATACTGAACTTCTGGAGGTTTACAACAAGGAGCTTTGCTAATGCAAGCATTGATTACAAGGTTAGGACTGAAACATGGAAATTCCTGAAAGAAACTAAGCTTTGTGATGCTGTTTTTATAGATACACTTTTCTAGCATTGACATACTTGTAGTGTTTGAAATTTTTTAACTGAGGTTTATTATGTACTAAGGATAATATATATAATTTTTTTAGTATCTTATCTGAGAAGCAATTAGATAAAATCCTCTTTTAGTAACAGCTATCAAGAAGAACTGTGTGCCACGGTTATTATGTGAGGGAACAAAAAGCTTTCAGCCCAACTTGTATTTTCACTTGTTGCATATATTTTATACCCTCAAGTTTTTCAGTTATGATGGGTAGTAAGTTTTTAGTCTGAGTTCTTATTTGTGCAACACTTTGCAAGAAAAATAATCTTGTTTTTAAAATTAATAAAATCCCAAAAATTTATATGCAACTTTTCTTAAATGATATATTTGACCTTTTCTGTTTTTTAAAGAAGTATATTTTTATTTGATCCTTATCAGTTTAAGGATTGTTGTGTCTTTGGTCCTGTTACTTGGTCTTTCTCATCAGAAGGAAAGTTGTAGTCTGTTTTAGGTTTTTAGATGCATAAACAATTTGTAGCACACCTGAACTGATAATATTTTTGGCCCCTCAGTTAATGTACTTTCTGGTGTCCAAATATATATTAAGGTCTTTGTAATTAAGAATTTGATGTGAAACTTAAGTCTTCCAGACCTTGAAATTACATTTTTAGGAGTCACTTGCATTATTAAGTACTTGAACATTTGGAAATACCTGTAACTTTGAATTATGATTTGAAAAACTTTATTCTGAACCTGGAAGAATTTAAGTTTTCTTGTTTGGCGTTCAGACTGTGTATGCATTCTCAAAATAGCCATAATAGGCAGTATATAACACCATACAGTGCTCCTTTCACCAACTTCTGTTGTCCCTCTTTTTGTAGACATGTACACCAGGTTGATGCTGTTCTTCTTTCTCATCCTGACCCTCTACACCTTGGTGCTCTTCCATATGCAGTTGGAAAACTGGGTTTGAATTGTGCCATTTATGCAACTATTCCTGTATATAAAATGGGACAGATGTTTATGTATGATCTCTACCAGGTATATTTAAGTTGATACTTTCATACACAACGTCTTTCATATGGTAGAGTGCTCAGATTCTTGAATGCTCTGCACTTCTTATTTGTTTTAGTCCCGCCATAATACCGAAGATTTCACACTCTTTACATTGGATGATGTAGATGCAGCCTTTGATAAGATACAACAACTCAAGTTTTCTCAGATTGTGAACTTGAAAGGTAAAGTTGTCACCAAAGTTTCAATAAATTATTTTTAGTGAAAGGCAACAGAGTCATTAACAGTTGAAGTAACTTTTTTTTAAAGGGAGTAAGTTTTGAAATGTTGTGCATTTTGTGGGGCTGAATTCAGTAGCCCTGTGTCATTCTGTGTCAGCTGAACGTTCGCCTCGGTAATTGCATGTGGAAATGGGTAGGATTTCCTCTTGGTGAGGAGGAGATCTTGCCGAAGCATATTTAGGCGTTTGTTTCTCTTTTATTTTGTGACTTTTGTTGGAATTTGCTCATGCCTCTCAAAAGCATTTACTCATGCCTAGTGGTAGATACCTCAGAACTCTTCAGTAACCAGTGGCACAAAGGAAAGCTTTCTCGAGATTGAATAGGTTGCAGAGATTAAGTTACAGCATGTGGATGGTTTAATGAGGAGGTCTGTGCTGACTCTGAATGATACTCAGTGTATCTTACTGCTAGGACCTGTGGCATCCAGAGAATCAGCAGCTTTTCGCTCTTGTTTAATGTAAAGATCAGAATGAAATGGAAACCCTGTTCTTGAACAAAGACACATACAAGCTGACCACCAGCAGCTTGTCTCTGAGATGCAGTATCTCCCAGTTCCTGAATGCTGCTTGCTACAGTACTTGCACTGTAATTTGGAAAATAGAAATAGGAAAGGATGCTGAGCCTTCTTCAAAATGTTTGTAGCAAGGCTATGTCTGTGCTGAAAGTTTTTACATCTTAAAAGTGGTTTTATTGAACAACTTTTTTAAAATGCCCTACTTTTTTCATATTCGATGGAAGTGATTCGAAAAGAGTCAATGGACACATCTAAGAAGATAATGTATGATTTAATTATTATTAAAGCTGTGCACCTCTGTTCAAGTTGGTGGAATGCAAGCAAAGTCAGTGAGTACTGGTCATGTGTGGTCTAGTTTTACTCTGACAAGGGTATAGGCTAGCACCAATGATGAGGACCAACAGTACATTTAAAAAAAAAAGGCGTCAGGTGCTGAAAAGATCGATCATCCCTGATTGCAGCACATTAACACCTTTGACTTGCATGTTTGTCATTCTGGAAAACTTCCAGTTTGTGTAATTTATATGTGTTTTTGTAAGTACTTAGACAGTGGATGGATGATATAATAAACATTTTGTGTTGCCCTAGAGAGGCATCTGCCTTTGACCAGTGTACCTGCTTTCACATGATGTGTTTGTTATATAATTTACTGTTGTGTAAGTCTATAGTTACAGTAGCTCTGCAGTGCCTCTGAGTACCTGTAGGAGTTGAAGGGAAAAAGTGATCTTCACTTTAGTCTCTTTTTCTGGAGGTGAAATAGAAGTGAATTGCAAAAAAATTTGAAGTTACTGGTTAGATGGGAAGGGCAGATGTTTCTGTTTTTTCCATACTTCCTTTGACTTTTTTCCCCAGTAATAATTCTGGCATTCAGTCGTTTAAAATTACTATCTCTTATTCAGAAGAATGGATTTTAATACATGTAATGTACCTAAAATATTGAAAACTTTTCCAGGGAAAGGACACGGTTTGTCAATCACACCATTGCCAGCTGGGCACATGATAGGAGGTACAATTTGGAAGATTGTCAAGGATGGAGAGGAAGAAATTGTTTATGCAGTTGATTTTAACCACAAGAGGGAGATGTAAGTTCAACATAGCAATATATACTTCTGGGAGATTGTGTTAGGTGTGCGTTGTTTAATGTGTGATAAACAGATGTGGAAGTAGCAGTGCCTTTCCAGCTCTAATGAGACCACTAATTTTACTTGCATTTAGATTAATCAGTTTGAAACAAGCATTAACTCTGGATTTCTTCATTCCACTCAGTTTTATTTAATTTTAAGTTTGAAGCAGGAAACATTCAGCTGCTGAGCAGTTTGATTTCTCTATGTGCAAACATCTGGAAGCTATCTGTCTTATTTTTTCTCATAAAAAAGAAATGCAAAAAGTGACGTTTTGCCTTTTTTTCACAGCCATCTGAATGGATGTTCCTTGGAAATGTTGAGCAGGCCTTCATTGCTTATTACAGATTCATTTAATGCTACTTATGTGCAACCCAGGAGGAAGCAAAGGGATGAACAGCTGCTGAGTATGTATTCTGTTTGGGCTTGAAAATAGCAGTAATGTGATTTATTAGCTACTGTAATTTGTTTTTCTGTGAGAAATTCAGCAGCATCCAAACTAAGAACCTTTATTAAAATTTAACAAATTTTGAATTACTCTTTCCTGATGGTACTGATCCTGTGGGTTAAATGTTTTCCTGAAAACAATGAACCGTATTTGAAAACAGTGTATTTTACCCAGTATCAATTATCTCAAGAGATTTTTAAATTACCTTCCTCAGCCCATTCCTTTTTAAACTCCATTTCACTGTTGGATTTTTTTTTAATAAAAAGAGAAAAAGAAAGAAAAAATAGTATCAAGGCAGCGAGATCTTCAGAGCTACCAAGAAAGCTCCAGCTCCCTTTAATTTAGGTGGAAATGTGCTTTTGGATCTCTTTTCACCTTTAATTTATTTCTGTATTCAATTTGCTTTTGATTATGATTGCTAGTGTGATGCAACAAACAAACAAAAAAACCCAAGCCACAAACATTCTAATTTTGATTCAAAGTATAAGTAGGTTTTTGTTTTGTTTTTAATTCTTCTTAGCTAATGTTTTGGAGACATTACGAGGTGATGGAAATGTATTAATAGCCGTGGATACAGCAGGCAGAGTTCTGGAACTTGCTCAACTTCTTGATCAAATCTGGAGAACGAAAGATGCAGGATTAGGAGTCTACTCTCTAGCACTTTTGAATAATGTCAGCTACAACGTAGTGGAGTTCTCTAAATCGCAGGTTTGTTTTGATTTTAAAATGCAATTATGAAGTGGGTAATGGAACACGTATGCAAAAGCGTTTTGTTTTTAACGGTAAAAAATGGGTAAATACTGGGTGTCGTCCTTATTCTGTAAAGCGTGTTTGTGTCTCAGGTCTTTCGATCAAGTAACACAGAGTCCAATCATGGCTATGGGCACGTTTCTTGATACTCATTTCTGTTTTTATCACAAGACTTGTTAGCGTAGCTTATAGCTGTTAAAAAAGAAGACCTAAAGAACTTGTTTGTGGTGTTTGCGCTCGGCATCATTTCAGTGCTTGCTGAGAAACGTTGATGTAATCACGTCCATATTGCATCCTGTACTTCATATCAGGTTTATACGTTGTTGTAGAACTTGTATTCTTATAGATAACTCTTTCTCAATACATATTTTAGGTTGAATGGATGAGTGACAAGTTGATGAGGTGCTTTGAAGACAAGAGAAACAATCCTTTTCAGTTCCGCCATCTCTCCTTATGTCATAGTCTGTCTGATCTGGCTCGAGTGCCTAGTCCAAAAGTTGTTCTTGCCAGTCAACCGGACTTAGAGTGTGGATTTTCTAGAGATCTTTTCATTCAATGGTGCCAGGATTCCAAAAACTCTGTAATTTTAACTTATCGTACTACACCTGGAACATTAGCACGATTCCTAATTGATAATCCTTCTGAAAAAGTTATAGATATTGAGGTAAGAGTTGTCTGTATATCTCAAAGTTTTTTATTGTGGGCCATCTGGGAGAATATGAGCTCAACTGAACTTAGTTTCCTTTCTGATCTGCTGAAAACGCTTCTAGTGGTGGAGGGAAATCTGAAATCAGTATGTTGCATGTTTAACCAATTGTGGATAAAATTGCCTAAAAATAAGTCTCATTACTAACTGAAAAATGGTTTTTTGGTGATGTGACAAAACTAATACTCCATAGAGATGAGCATAAAGTTGCTATAAAAATAAGTCTCATTACTAACTGCAAAATGGTTTTTTGGTGATGTGACAAAATTAATACTCCATAGAGATGAGCATAAAGTTGCTTTTAAATATTTATCTTTAGACAACACTTTCCTTTGTGTTGTAATAGAAAAATTCTGCTTGTAGTTGACATATGAATCACAATATATGATGGATTGTTCTTGCTGGAAAATACTCTGGTTTTAGATGAGGGGAGAATCAAGTTAAATTAGTATAATATATCCCACTAGAATTAAAGATAAGCAAAGGCTAGGAATTAGAACGCAATTAATTGTTATTCATGCTTTCAAATTATTTCCAGTAATTAATATGCCTGAATATACTTCTGTCTGATAAACATTGTTAATTTATGAGAGTCCCTGTGATCACAGTGATAATTCGAATCCTGATGATGCAGCTTTATTTTAGTTTTAGATTGGATTGGAAGCGTTGAGTTACAGTATTAGACTATTACTAGAATTCAGTATTATTCAAAGTGACCTATACTCTAATCAGATTTTCAGAAAACAAAACCCAAAACTTACCATTGTTCTGCCTGTTAGTATGACTTTGCCAGGTTCTTCCTGTATTTATTAGTGACACAAAAAGTTAAAAAAAACCATTGCTCATCTCAGAGTATTTTCATTCACCTATTGGGGAGATATTTCCTGAAGATGTTTTAAGAAGCGTTTGTAAAGCTAACTGATTTTAATACTTTTAGAAAAGCTTTCTGTTAGACTCTGCTAATTGATAACGTCATGGCATTGCCATGTGAATGTGGCACACGTTTGTGTGATCTTGTCTCGTATACGACATACAAGTTGTACTTTCCCTTGGTACTTAAATACAAATATTCTTGTCAGCAGCATGTAGGAAAAGTGCTAAAATCATGTCAACTACTCACAATAATATTAGTTTTAATTCTGTCTACAGTTGAGAAAACGTGTCAAGTTGGAAGGAAAAGAACTCGAAGAATACCTAGAAAAGGAGAAACTAAAGAAAGAAGCAGCTAAGAAGTTAGAACAATCTAAAGAGTAAGTATATTGGCTGTTCTTGCATTCTGCTGTTATGGTCAGAGTTGAGATTTTTGTGTGATCGTTCTGTTGCTTTAAGCATTTACGGGGGTAAATGGAAATCATAGTTTTGATAGACTTGTCTGGGGGCACTGAGGAATTGGGAATGGTTATCTTTAATCTGTTGTTATGATAGACCTGTTTAATCTGTTGTTTGACTGTGAGCTCTTTCTCAGGTACATAAACTGCTCTTGTCCTTGTCAGTGTTATGTCAACTGTCATTTTCCAGTCGGTGTGCTTATGTAATATTAAACCTGAAGAAAAAAGTGCTAGTTTTTTTTGGAATGTCATTTTAGGGCAGATATCGATTCCAGTGATGAAAGTGATGCTGAAGAGGATATTGATCAGCCAACTGTACATAAGACCAAACATGATTTGATGATGAAAGGTGAAGGTAGCCGGAAAGGAAGCTTCTTCAAACAGGCAAAGAAATCTTATCCGATGTTTCCAGCCCCTGAAGAAAGAATTAAATGGGATGAATATGGCGAGATTATCAAGTATGTGGTGGTGATGCATACTAACATGTAGTAGCTACGAAGTAATTAAAAAATAGAAGTAATAAAAATAAAAATCATAATTTCGTCTCTTTTTCAGCACTGTTACATGTTCTTCCAACCACTTTAACTTTTGAACGGTTAGGACAGTTTGCACTAAGTCTCACAGGAAGCTTATGATAGGATTGAAGCTGCAGAGCACTGATCCTTGGCCTGTGTTCACACCTCTTAGGATGTGTTTCCACTTCAGGCTTTTTTTCTTTTTCCTTCCTTTTATCTTATAGGATAGAAGATTTTTTTTTTTTTAGTGCATGGGGTTTTTTTTCTGCTTTAAATTACATATAATTTCGATAAATTTATGTTGAGGGGAAAGAGCATTGTTCGTCCTAGAAAAATCTAGTGATACTTGTCCTATTTGCATAAGGAAGTATTGCTAGAAAACCTCAATTTGCTAGTATTTCCCAAGATATCAAAGTTTTTTTTAAGATAGGAAGGTAATATTTTCCAAATAGTTCTATTCAAATATGGAAATACTGAAAGCAAGTGTAATAAAATTGTTGGCAATAACAGTTATAAAACATCTCAGTAGTAATAGCATTGTTTTCATATTGTGTAGTGCTTTGGTTTTACTATTAAAAGCAAAATGTCTTTCCTTCTTTAGACCTGAGGATTTTCTAGTTCCAGAACTTCAAGCAACAGAAGAAGAAAAAAGCAAATTAGAATCTGGTTTGACAAATGGAGAAGAGCCTATGGACCAGGATTTATCAGATGTTCCTACCAAATGTATTTCTGCAACAGAATCCATGGAAATTAAGTGAGTGGCTTTGTTGTTCTTGTCAGTTTTGCTAGAATGGTGACGTGGGTATGGTGTAAATTGGGTAAAAGCTTGCTTGGACTTAAGAAAGTAGGAAAGGGCTTGCCTTTTGTGTTTGTTTTTTTCCACAGGCTATATAAGTTAGATTTTTACTAGTCTTTCTAGGAGCATGGTACAGAGTCTTATGGTTCCCCACTCTTAAGAAATTCGCAGTTTGTTCCCTGTCTGATGGAGACAAGTGAAAGAGGAAGAACAAATGATACAATAGTATGTTAGCATAGATACTGAAATGCATATATATTTTGTTAAAAGAAAAACTCATTCAAATATGTTTATCTCATGTTTTGGGGTAAGTATGTAAATAAACTTTTGGAATTTATAGTGTTAAATATACATACATACCTTGTGCTGACAGCTTTTGTTGATGTAGAATAATTTCAAAATATCTTCCAGTTTTAAATGAAATATTTAGGAGCACTGGAAGGTTTAATCTTTTAAACTAAAAAAGTCTTTCTTGGATTTTTAATTCAAACTAGAGCCAGAGTTACATACATTGACTATGAAGGACGCTCAGATGGGGACTCAATTAAAAAAATTATTAACCAGATGAAACCAAGACAACTGATCATTGTTCATGGACCACCTGAGGCCAGTCAGGACCTTGCAGAATGTTGCAGAGCTTTTGGTGGAAAAGATATTAAAGTTTACATGCCGAAACTGCATGAAACTGTAGATGCAACCAGCGAAACTCACATTTACCAGGTAAGGTACTGGAATTTTAGTTGTGTAACTATTGTGAACTGTAGTAGAGCTGTATGGCCAGACTCTAATTAGGCTCTCCATTGTTTGGGAGAGAAGAGACGATACTGCCTATGTGTACACTTGGTTTTGTGTGATCAAGTGTCGTGGTTTTAGACCGATCCGGCAACTAAACTCCACACAGCCGCTCTCTCACTCCAGTAAAGTGGAGAGGAGAAAAATATAATAAAAGGACTGAGGGTTGAGACAAGAACACAGGGAGCACCTGCCAACCATGGTCCCGGGCAAAACAGACTCGGATTTCTCAAAGCAAAACAATTTATTAACAGTTACTTAAAAGAATAAAGACAAGCAAAACCAGTTACTTAAAAGGATTAAAAGAAAACAAGGCCAGATCTTAAAAACAACACCTCTCCACCCCCCCTTTCCTTTTCTTCCTGGCTCTACCTCCTCCCCCCAGCAGCGCAGGGGGACAGGGAATGGGGGAGTGCAGGTCAGTTCATTCCATGTTGTTACTGTGTCTCCTTTTTTAAAGGAGGAGTCCTTACACCATTCTCCCTTGCTCCAGTGGATCCCCTACTCATGAGGAAAATCCACAAACTTCTCCAGCGTGAGTTGTACCCGCAGGATGCAATCCTTCCCCATTGGATTGTTCTGGTGCGGGCTTTACCACAGTCTCGGATTCTTAGGGAGTTGTTGCCACTCAGTCCAGTGGGGGTCGTCATATAGACTCTAAATGTGTCTCTACCTGTGCCCATGCTTCATGACTGTCCTCAGGCTCAGGCATCTCCTCTGAACAAAACATCTCCCCACCAACGGGGGTTGTCCCACGGATTCTAGATGCATACCGTCCTCAAGCCCAGGCCTCTCTTCTCGACATGGGTTCTCCACGGACTGTGAGTGGGGCTCTCCACCGGGCCCGCCATGGCTGCAAGGGGGCTGCCGGCTGTCTCGCCACAGGTTGCAGGGGAAACTCAGCTCCGGCACCTCGTCCTGTTCCATCTTCACTGACCCGGTGTTGGTGTGGCTGTTTCTCTCAGATCTCAGTCTTCTCTGGGTGAACTCAGCCCAGTGGACACCCTGGGAGCGGGGCTCTCCCTGAGTTCCCCAAGCAGCTTCACTGCGGCCATTCTCAGCGGGTGGCAGTGGCCCGGCGCGGCTCCTGTCCTCGCTTCTGGCAAAGGCACACCTTTCCGTTTCCTTTGTCCCGACGTAAATAAATAGGGCAATTCGCAGAGACATGGATTGGCTCAAGCCCCAAGGGGGATGGGAGTCCGATCTGGTGGCCAGTCCTGCCACCAGAACCTCCCCCTCACATCAAACTGACATTAAGACATTAGAAGACATTGGTAGTGCTTTTCTGTCTTCTTATATTTATTATTCATAAGAAGTGTTTAAAAGCTTAAACATGAGAGCAGTGTGTTTTTACCTGTCGTGCAAAAGACAAAGTTCGTGTCCATGGGAACATCAGTTTGCTTTACTCAAGTCTTCATAGCTTTATAGTGTGTATATTTGAAGTACTGATGTACACTACTTGGAATTCAGGATTCTTTTTCAAATCTAAAGGGGAGCCTTAGAGAACAGAGTGAAAAAAAATCCTTTGTACTAAATAGTACCTAAGAATGAACATGGAAAGTTAGGAGCAAGTTAATGTTAGTAAATAAGTAAATAAATAAAGACACCATTACCCCCCAAAAAGGTTAATGTGATGGTTCTTGGAAAGTGAGGTTATGATAATGCGTTGCCCTGTGTTAATATATTGCATTTAATTGTTGTGGTTAAGCTCTAAATAAGAAAACTTGGATAATTTGCGTGAAGTATGTGAAAACTATATATGGTCCCAATTCCTCTAAACAACTTCAAAAGTCGAAAGTCTCTCACGTGCACTTTAGGCATTAGTCCTTTGTTCCTTCTGTCCTTTTAAAGTTAATAGAAAAACATCAGCAGACTTGTTGAAAGAGGTACTTCTGCTTCTTTCCAGAGAAAAATCTGTTGCCCTATAGGAAGTGGAAAGTTGGGGTTACTCAAAATTACCTAGTTCTGGCAGTCTTAAAATAGCAGTGTTTCCTGTGTTTGGTTTGTTGGTTGTTGGGTTGTTGGTCTGTTTTTTATAAAGCTATGAGGATTGCTAGTGGGTAAGAAATGACATGACTGTGATTTTTCACAAAATATTTATCTATATTCTAATTACTGTGTATTTAGTTTCAATTATTTTTTTTATGTAAAGAGGAAATTCAATTTTCTGCATATCTTTAGTTTATTTTTCTGTTTGAAACTTTCTAAACAGATGGAAATACACTGGAAACATTGATTTAGAAAATAATGAATGTGAGTGGGGTATCAGAATCCCAGTGTCTTTTGAGTGGACTGTGCTGCAGATAGTTAGTTAGTTGTGGTATCCTTCATACAGTTGCAATTTTGATTCCACTATGGGGATCATGCACAGTCTCATGGATAAACAGTCTTTCGGAGTAGGGCTTTATTTAATGGGTTAAGTCCTGGAATGCACCAGAGGAATAAGGGTAAGGTAATGTTTTGGTCACTTTAAAATCTGATATTTACAACATCCCATCTTATAATAAAATATTAATTATGTTTTTTTTGAGAGCTGAAATTTGGAACTGCTGTTCAGTAACTCAAGTGTATGTATAGAAACTCTCATTAAATTTACTAAGGCCAAATGAGGAACCCCTTGGCCACGAAAAAGGTTTCTGATGTTTTAAAAGGGATTGATTGCTCTTTCTGTAAATTGAATTCAAGTATAGCTTCTTTTTTTTATTTTAAGCAAGACAAAAACGATATTGATCTCTGCTGCTTTTTGAGTTGTGACATGAGAGTTATACAAATTATATTTTGAAAATATAGAACATCTTGCCTTGGTGATACCGATTCCCTCCTTTCCCTCCTCAAATGAGTGTGGATCAAACCTACGTGCAAAGACAGTGAAAGAAAAACTGCTAACCTTTAAAGCTTGAAGTAGAACTCTGTCTGTCTTTTCCATCAAACTAATAGTACTTGTATTTTTGTGCAACCCAGGTCAGGTTAAAAGATTCTCTTGTCAGCTCCCTTCAGTTCTGTAAAGCCAAGGATGCTGAGTTGGCTTGGATAGATGGTGTTCTGGACATGCGAGTTTCGAAAGTGGACACTGGAGTTATTTTGGAAGAGGGAGAGCTGAGGGAAGATGAAGACTTAGAGATGCAAGTGGATATGCCTTCCTCAGACTCTAGTGTCATTGCACAACAGAAGGCCATGAAAAGCCTCTTCGGTGATGATGACAAGGAGATGTGTGAGGAGAGCGAGATCATTCCTACTTTGGAACCTCTGCCACCTCACGAGGTACAGAAATTACGATGATCTGGACTTCTGTTTTTTGAAGAGCTCTGTATTCATTTGTCTTTTTCTAGCACTTCTGATTGATACTGTGATCTTATTCAAATGAAAGCCGAACTGAAACTGGATTTTCATGTTTGGTTTTCTCTTTATTAAACCTGCTACTGTTCATTGTTCAGATTTTATGCCTTTCAGCAAGGATGATCTCTCGCATCCACTGACAGTGCCTAGCAATTAGTACCACCTATTTATAAAGATAAGATTTTAGTTAGAATGTTTCATTTAGTTAATACTTGCAGATTTGGAAATTAGTCGATATTTAGTCACTCTTGGATTTTATTGTGTTTTGTTGATGCTATGGAAAATTCTTCATATACTTGAGATACAGATCTTTGAAATTCATACATCTCTGCGTCTATAGTAGCGATTTGAGAGCTCATTAAATTAATCTTTTTTATAAATTTATCTTTACTCTTAAAATACTTTGCATGTGAGTAGATATTATTTTAGCCTTTCATTGAATGATTACAATGCCTTTTAATCCTAGAATTGCTTTTTAAGTTCCTGTTGCACAGTCCTAAATGTAGCCTGTTGTAGGAGCTCAATAAACGTGGAGACAACTCTAAAGTCTGTTCACATTCATGGCAACTGTCGTAGAAGTTTGTAGTGATTAGCAGTGCAGCTTAACTGCGGCTCTGTCCCTGGCATAGCATGGCTTGGAAAAGGGATCTCCAATGACAGCTTTCCATCTGTCTTCAATATGTGAGCAAAGAAGGAAACTTGTCCTTTACTTGACAGATAACTTGTAAGGCCTTCCTATCCTGGAAATGTTTTGCTGCAGATGAACAGAAATAGAAAGAATCATCTTCTTTATAGTCCTGTAGTCTAGGCCACACGATGATGAGGACATCTTTGGAAAAACAGAAGGTGTTATGTAGAAGTATTAAAACTGTGTGTGTTTTTTAAAGGTTCTTGGACATCAGTCTGTGTTTATGAATGAGCCAAGACTGTCTGACTTCAAGCAAGTTCTCTTGCGAGAAGGTATACAAGCTGAATTTGTAGGAGGAGTGCTTGTGTGCAACAATCTGGTGGCTGTTCGCAGGGTAGGTGTTCTTTGGTAAATACTATTCTAAATGAAAATCAAGTTTCTCACTAGTGTAAAGATAGTAAATTGAAACATGTCTTTTGTTTCAGACTGAAACAGGGCGCATTGGATTGGAAGGCTGTCTCTGTCAGGACTTCTATAGGATAAGAGACCTTTTGTACGAGCAATACGCTATTGTCTGAGGAAAGTGCTGCAAAGATGTTTTTACTCGAACTTTTAAAGACAATGGGGATTTCTCCCAATTTTGACGTTTTGTAGTTTTCTAATTTATACAGGGGAAACCTAATTCATAAAGAAATTAACTACCCTGAACATGTAAATAACTGCTACTGTCGTTTCTCATAAATCTGTTGGTACATTCCATGTTGTTGACTTCCAAACTGTTACGAGTTGCCATCTCCCACATAACACATTGTAAGTTTATGACTAAGAACCCTTCTCAGGAAAGGTTCAGTTTGTCAGGGCATGTTTTGGTTTCATAGATTCCCTGCCAAAGAGTACAAAATACACATATAGAAGTCATTCTTCTGTTCTAAAATAAGATTAGATAGGGAACTGTGAGTTTCTTTGGTTTTGTTCTTTTTGGTTTTTGTAAGGTTATTTTTGGTTTTGTTATTTGTTTTGGGGTTTTTTTAAATAGCTTAAAGCTAGGCTACCTAAACTTTCCCCAGTGTTAATCTGGCTGCATCTTAATGTTCTATCTGCTCCATCTTACTGATTTCTTCCAGAACAGCATTTCATATTCTATAGAAAGTATTAATCTGCAGGATCAAAAAACTACTTTGGAAAGATACTCTAAGAAGACTGGATAATATTGTCAGGCAGTTCAAAATTTAGTACTTCTGTGCTTCAGAGTAACTTCTGTACAAAGTTATAGCATCTGTATCTTCTAGCTTTTGCAAAATTATGCCAAATGTAAAATCTTTCCTGAGTTCTGATTTTAGTATTTTCAAAGTTTAAAGCCTTTATCCATGCACTGCTGTTTGAATGCCATCAGCCAAGTTCAGGAAGATCTTTTATCTTGAAATCTGAGTTCATGTGATGTGTTTAATGCTTTTTTGCCATGTTTTGTTCTAGTTGCATGTTTTGTGCCGTTTTTCATTCTATTTGACAGTGGGACTTTACTGTAAATGCTGATGCTAGGAATTGACCTTACTTCTTAGGTGAAGCTGAGCACAGTTTTGGGCACCTTCATTTCTGAGAAATTAACTTATGCAAATGGCCTCTTCAGAGTTTATTTAATCCTTTTTTCCTCTGTCCACATGTGAACCAGCAGCTTTGGCAGTGGAGGATTGCTTGTTTGTTTTTACATACAACAGCAATGTAATATGTCCTTTCTGTGTATATGTTTAAATAAAACCTTTTGAAGAAGTGGCAAAAAATAGCCTATTGGGCCATCAGTGGAAAGATAATTTACTTTGCAATTCATTCTTGATAAAGAGATTTCTATGTGATTTACAGACTACTTACTCTGTTTAAAATAGTAACTAAAAACTGGAGACCATGTTTAAAACAAAACCAAAAACACCCCAAAACAAACCAAAAAACAATCTGCTAGAACTATATACTAAAAAATGTGAAAATTTAATGCTGAGTGAGAATGTTACACGAAATTTTGGCTAGGTATGACTGAGTGGCTCAACCCTTTTTTGTTTTGGTTTGGTTTTTTTATTTAAACAGTGTAGAAAAACATTTATTTTCCATTACATCAACAGCCAGAACTTCATAGAAATGTTCTGGTTTTGTAGCTGTTTTGTAGCATGGCTTTATAAATCTGTATGATACTGGATGCTTGTTGGCGAATACTATTGTATTGCTATTGTTGCTGATACTAAAGAACTTTCATAAAGTGAGTTACTTAGTACATAATCTTATTGGCCTTAGGACTTACAACTTGAGGGCTTAGAACGGGCAGAGATCACGTGCTTGTGTGGAATATACTAATAAAGAAAAAAACCCTCAGGAAATCAAACTAAAAATAGTGCTGTTTTTAAGAAAGGGATAAAGACAAGACAGTGTGCTCATAAACCTTTATGAGTTTTGTTTGGTTTTTTTAACCTATTGATTCAAATTCAGCTAAGTTTAACAAAAGTTTAGTGTTATCAGTCACTAAATTCCTGTGTGTTCTGGTAAAGAGGAGAGCCTCAAATTAGTGCCATCACTAAGAAAAAGCCTCAAGTGTGAGCAGAACAGCTAACTCTTCTTTTTCAGTCTACTCCGCATGAGTGTGGCTTGAAGTCAGACCTAGAAAGCTGATACACAAGGCAATAGTCATCATCTCAGCGCTGAGACGGAGGAAAGCTGGGTTTGTGAACGATTCTGGTGGTGAGAGGGATGAAGGGTAATACAGAACGTTTGTAGTAAACATACCACAGGCTGCAGCTGTGCTGTGGGACAGGTGTCCTCCTCAGCTGTGCATTCATCACTTGTAAGCACCGTGGAACTGAAGCAAATTCCCATTAATTTTGCCTAGTCTGCTATCCGTTCTCTCATAGATTATTGTTGTTCTTTTCTGTTTGGGGGTTCTTTTTTGTTTGTTCTTAACAGTGATTTGCTTTAAACAATAATTGAACTTCTCTGTGTAATTTTCAGTTACTAATCTGGTTCTTGTTTGTATCTGAAATGAAAGATTTCGTTTCCCCTTACCTCCATAAAATACCAGTGCTGCCATGGACTGTAAGCTGTATTTTCTGACTTTTGCATTTTCTTCATTAGCAGTAAAAATTTTATAACGAGTACTATTTACTTTTTGCTTTATTGCTTTTGAGGGCAAGAAAATTAACTTCAAGTCAAACCTAGTTGTGGTACTTACTGACAGTTTAAAAATATTCATCCAAGGGTCTTAGATAATTCAGATTCCTCAGCTCAGAAGAGCCAAGGGGATGTGGAGACACAGAAAAGGCAGAAACCTGCCTTCCCTCATCCCCAAAGTCTGCAGTATTTGTGGGTAAATCCTACAAATTTTTTGTGTTCTCTTCTTCCTGTGCCTGTGTAGTAGAATATGAAGATGTATTTCAAAAGATTTAGGGAATGTAAAAGGAGAACTCTTTAATAATAAAAAAAGAATTCTAGAATTAATTGTGAAACTGTTCCCGTTGTCTAAACATAGCTTTATGCTGAAGTTCAATAACTTTGTGGGTGACAGTCTCATTTTTAATCATTTTACTTTGACAGTGTGTACTGGAGGTGAAGTGAAGCTGCAAATCTTTCTTCTCCTTCCCTGAATAATATTTGGACTTTACCAGGTCCGCTTCTCAAAATATGCTGTTAACGGAAAGATTGTGTTTCCCGTATTCAGTCAGAGTAACGGTCTCATGAGAGCGTTTGAGATCTATTTGCTGGTAAAACTTCCTTGGAAAGGTAGGAATTCTCCCATGTCTGTACTAGCTTTTTAATTAAAGTCAAACACTATTCGTTTGGAATAAACAAGCAAAGAAACACTGTACCAACCCACACACCTCCATCTAAGTAATTGTTATAGATGGTTGAACCCTAAACCACTTGCCTTGTGCAGAATGAAGATTTCTTTGATAAGGTGTGACATGTATTAATATTTCAGTTAAGAAAGGGGAGTGTATTGCCTGGGGAAAAAACTTAAACCACTAAAATATTTGGAGACTTTGGCAAAAGAAATCTTACATTAAGGATCTGAACATTGCACAAATACTCTGTTTCATGGCTTTTACAAATGTTTTCATAGTTTTAAAAAAGTGGTGCTGGAGAAGACGATGTCACAGTCAAATCTGATAAAGCAGTGTATCCAGTAAACAGAAGGTCTTAGGTCTTGATCTGAAACCTATATAAGGAACTGATGGTAGTTCAAAATGGGATAATGAAACTAGGTCAAAAGAATCTTTAAAAGTGGTTGTTGAAATTTATTTTTCAAAGTACATTAAACAGTCTTAAGTCTTCTCTGAGACTCTTTCCAATTGGAAAAGAGAAACGCCACAAAGATAGAAATTTACATCACGAGGGTTTATTTTGTAAATGGGAGTCCGTTGCATGGCATGTTTCCTGCAAGTGCAGAACAGAGTAATTAGCCAAAGTTGATGTGAGCAGTATTCATCTTAAAAAACAGTACTTTTATTCCTTCCAGTGAAGTTGAAAGCTTCCATTATAATAATACAAGCTTTTGTAGAAAATCATTTTCCATGAAGTTTGTCAGCAGGGCAAATACTTTATTGAATGTTTTGGATGTTCTAAAATTGCATCCTCCCTGCATGATAAGCAGTATATGTTGTAAAGTTATCATACATCACACTGCTTGACCAGTATTAACCAAAGGATGGAAGAGTGCGTTGTTTCAAATTGATCTAAATTACATTCGTAAAATTCTTAATTCCTTGTCTTAAAAGGTGTCCTGCTGTTTCTTGCAGAGAAGTTCTGAAGAGTGGTTGCAGTTCAGTGGTAAGTGAAGTGATCACTCCTTTCAACTCATTAATGCTTGCTTACAGTGGTAGAAGAATATGAAAGTAGTATTTAAAATATCTATTAATTGTCAAGTATATTTTCCTATGCTTAAGGAGAGTGTGGAAGTTTGATGAATATTGGAGATGTAAAGATACAGGAGAGCTAGACTATTTCGTGTAATGCTCTTCAAATTTTACTCTCCTTGATAGGTTATATATTACCACTGTAACAGGAAAGTTTTTTTTTTTTTAAAAAAAAAAAGCTGCATTTTTGGGTAGAACTTCCAATAAGCCATGTAGCTGTTTTCCTGGAAAAGAAGGATCCACAGAAACTCAAAATGTTATGAAGAAGCAGATTCAGTGTATGAACTTTAAGCAGTAATAACCTGCCTGTTGTTGCATAGTATTCTTAGATGATGCAAGCTGGGTCTGTGGTTCGGCAGCTGAATGATAATGAGTTCAGCATCTGCCAAAAAGTAAAAGTTTGTAACTGCAATCTGGTATTCAGAAATTTTGATAACAAGCAAATACATGATTTCAGTTGTGTAGGCTTTTCCTAAGTATTTCTCATTTTCAGTGCAGTTTCTCTGAAGTGCGAAAAACTTCTCTAAAAACTATTTTTTGCTAACGGTTTTAAAGAAATTTGCAATGATGGTAATTTTGGTTAAAAAAGAAAAAAAAATCAAGCCACAAACTTTCTGTCCAACTCAGTCTAAGGTTGATACCAGTTTTTGTAAAATTGACTTTGGAAAATTACATAGAGAACTCAGTGAAAAGAGTTCATCGTGTGGTAGTGGCTATGGTGCCCTTGCTGATAGGGATGATGTAGAAAATAAAACATCATATTTACTGTCAAGTAGCGATGTCAGAAATTTCACAGCTAAGTAACTATTCCATCTCCAATGTATTAAAGGATGTTTTTTAGATACAACCAAAATTATTTTTTTCCTTTGTGGCTAATCAGTTTATAGGAATATTTAGGTGTCAGTTATGAAGAATGAACTCTTAGCAACACAACCGTTAAGCAACAACACTTGGAATGATGAGTTTGTCAAGCTGATGGTTTCACTGATACTTTCTTAGAGTTGTTGCTTAACTCAGTCGCCTTGTCTGCAAGGAGTGGTTTAGTTGTCTCACCAGTTCTAAAC